TGCTGCTCCTGCTACTGCTGCTGCTGTTTGTGTCAGTACTGTTCTTTTCTCCTTGACTCCAATTGAAAACTGCGTTTCCATCGCGCTAGCAAGCGGCAAGCGTCGACAGTCCGGGTAGAGGCCTAACTTATCACCGAGCCTTTGAAGGAGAGCAGGTTGTACAAGAATGACACTTCTTCTGGCTCCTGGGCATTCTTCCCGTGGATGCCTTGGAACTTACAGCAGCGGATGGCTGTCAAAACTGTCCTCAAGCCTGCGTCGCAACCTTTTGTACAAGGTGAAAGCTGTCCTGACATGAGGACTACTCAAAAGAGGGCACACATTGCTAGGGGAACCAGCAATGCTGACACGGCACAGTTTCTCAGCACTTGCTGGGCATCCTGGGCAGCATGGCAGTCAACTTCTGCAACCGATCGCATTGACTGTTGTGAAGATTGTGCCAACGGCCGCTGCTTCTGGGTTTCCGAATGTCTCTTTGGTCCCACATGCTCCAAATGTCAGAACTTGGTTGCCTCGAACGCAACATTCTGACCAGGATAGAGAAGGCAATAGAAGGCTGGAATGTCGAAGCCCGAGGATGCACTTCTTTGTTCCCAGAAACCACGGGTGCAAGCAATAAGCACATCTTCGCGAGAACGGCTCTGCAATGTCTGCACTTGCACCTGATGCCTGATTTGAACCCTGCACGCACAATCCTACACACAGCAGGCCTTGCCCTCCAGCTTCCCACCCAGAGCACCCCAGGTGGTGTCAGTATCGGCTTCCCTCCATGCGCGAGACCTGGTGGGAAGGCAAGTGCCGCAGCCATCAGACGGAAATCGGGGGGCTGGGGGGTGCGGAACCCATCAGTCGACGATGGACAGAAAACCTTCTCAATTACAATGCTCTTGGATCGAACTTCTGAAGTAGTCAAGCGACTTTCCACTGGCAAGCCAGCACCTGCAGCTTATCAAAACCAGACAGGACGTTATCCTCCAGAATTCCACCTGAAGTGACTACGAGTACCGCGCAGCGCAGGAGACGTGCTCCCATGGCCTGTCGCTGATTCCTGCTGCTTTTCCATCAATGAACTCCTGAGCAGCCACAATCTTCGAATCCGAGACCGAGAGGGGAACCACAGTGCTCAGCCTTCATCGTAACACAGCCATGCGACTCCAACGCTCTTCAAGGAAGCTGTTGACTGAGATGGGAAAGCGGCCTCGACATTCCCAAGCAGCATTGAAAAGCTGTCTGTCATGACCCGCACCGCACGGGATCCTGGTCAAATTGAAGTCCCAATGACAGCCTTGCTTTAAACAAGTATGGACCCTTTTTGTTGCTTGAAGTTTCGTGCGAGGCACCTGGGTCTTCTCTTCAGACGTTCAGCATGTGAATGGCAACCCATGACACATGCCAACCTGGAGATCACTCGCGGTGGTGTAGAGGTGTCGGCCAGTAGAAGTATGGACAATCGACCTGACGCAGCACGCAAACAAAGATCTGACAGGGCAAGTTTTCCCTTGTAGCCAAGAGGAAACATGACTCTGAAAGGCACAGCTGCCGCCTTTTGAGCCGATGCCTCTGTTCGGCCGGGTAGTCTGACCCCCAATACCACCATGGCATCTCTTCCTGAACGCAACAAAAGGGCGATCTAATGAGCATGTAAGGTTGTGACTAAATAACAAGGAACAGACGGATAAAGCAAAGATTGCCACAAAGGGAAGTTTGTGAAGCTCTTGCCACTTTGCGCTATTGCCCTCTACAGAAGCTAAGTAGGCTTGTCTGAACAGGGACAAGAGACCAAAAGACCGAGATCCGATCCGCACAAATCCGGTTGATGTCTATGCAAATCCGGATGCGACAGGAAGGTCTCGCAGGTGTCTTCAAAAGCATGTCACCCTCACAACCAGTAAGACCTGGGTCCATAATGGTATTCCAGAAAAGCTAAAAATGGGGGTGGAAAAACGAACGGAGCTCAGGCAATCGCACAACGCCGTCAAACCCCGCTCCGCAACATTCAACGCTTGCAATGGAAACGGGCCTTGGGACCGGATGACACTTCGAAGTCAGGGACGAAGCTCGCATTGTACACCTCGATCCCCAGCCTGAGCTGAGTTCGATCGAGCACGTGGAAGTAAAAGAAAAACACCTAGCAGTGACAAAGCGTTGGTGAATGAACAGATGGTGGTGCGAGCAGGAGTGTAATAATGCGAGGACTACGCACCGCCAGCAGCAATTGTTGTCATCTGTTGTCAAAGATTTGTTCTTCTGTCTACACTTCTGCATGCCAAAATGCTCGCGGCAAAGCTCCAATGCCGCAGAGTGCTCGGAACTTAACCAGGTACCACCAACTTCAATCACATCATCTGTCTCCACATCCATCTTCCCTGATCAGCCGACGCGGGCAAATGCAGTCCACTGCAATGCAGCCCTCTCGGCCCTCTCGTCTTCTTCTGCATCTCCACACCCATATCCTGATCCTGGTCTCCTCCGATCAACCTCCTCTTGTTCACCCTTGCAGATGTCAGATTTCACATGTGAGCAGCTCGGTTCTACTAGCAAACATCCAAAAACCATTTTTGCGAAATGGCGCAATCTGTGGCGACTCAGGGATCTAACAACAATAATTCAGTGAGCTTCACGTCATATTGGACAAGCGCGCTTCTAGCACTTTAATTGGTTTGGTCGACCAGCTTGGCGGCTTAGCTTTAGGGCCCCAAAAAAGCACATAAGCAAAAATCAGGATAGGGATATCCCATATAAATCTCCGTATAATGAAGCCCAATAAGGTAGGGATATCCCTACAAAATGCCTATGCTTATGTCCCTTTTGGGTTTCGTAAGCTTGGCCTCAGCAGGGTGGGCCAGTTGCTTGGGGCACGGCAGCTCCCCCCATGCACAGCTGCTGTCAAGACACGTCGTAAGGAAAGGGCCACGTCACTGCCACTACAGTAGCACGGACTGCATAGAGTACGTGCCCCCAGACACCCACGTGCCTTTGTAAATATGCACATGCAGCTGCAGAATGTTCCAGTTCCAGTCTCGGTTTCCATGTCTTGCTGATTGCGTTAATACTGCTTTTGATATTGAATACGTCTGTGTCTGCCTCTCTCCCGCCTGTTGCCACGTCAATGTTGCGCGTGCGCCCACCAACCTTGAAGTTTGCAGTTTGTGCCCCTTTTTCTGTGAGATGGGGGTACGGCTTTTAGCATGGCTGGGACGAAGCCCGCGTAACAGGGTGGTACCAAACTGTTTGTCGAAACCTGGTCGGAGAAAAGGATTCGATGTGATGTTGACCACCGCTTGCAGTTCAAAACTTTAGGCTTTTGCCTTCCGACTTGCTAGGACGAACCTGCGACGCAGGGAGAGTCTAGGGTGTGGAGGGTTTAACTAACCGCAGAAAGCCGCGACTTCCTCTCTACTCTACTATAGAGCGAATGCCAGGCAACTACGACAATCTAGGCTATTCCGCCAATCGCTGTTAAATATCGCTGGCAAGGTGCATGATCCGTGGCCTCTAGAACTCGAACAGTCAATCCTCGGGACATTTCGATTCGAAACAGTTTTTCAAGAAGCAAGGCAGCGCGTGTCCTCTCTTCCGGAGCTGGTATGCTGCTGCCATCCCTGCTTGACCTTCAACGGCACGAACTACTCTCAACTCGGGTGACAAACTCCATTGCTTCTTTGAGTGAGGTTGACCAACATCATTTGCAAACATCATAACACGTGTGTGTATATTCAAACATGTACACATAAATATACATGTATACGTACGTGCAAACATGCGTAAGTACGTACATACGCATACACAGACATGCGCGCACATTTATGCATGCATGCATACATACAATGACATACAACGTACACGTAAATTTATGCATACCCACACGTGAACGCACATTCGTGTGACGTACATATGAACATACAAACCTCCATGCGCACATACAGGAATACAAACGAGTACGCACACATACAAACGTGCACATATACAAATTCATAGATAAGTACATACATACATACATACATACATACATACATACATACATACTTGAGGGCCTGTGGCATGGAAAACGAAAGCTCCGCGGCTTTTGCATCCGGTGAATGTCGGCTCTACGGCCAGCTTGCTTTTATCCGCGGCAGAGCAGTAGTAGTAGTAGTAGTAGTAGTAGTAGTAGTAGTAATAGTAGTAGAAGTAGTAGTAGTAGTCGTCGTCGTCGTCGTCGTCGTAGTAGTACTAGTGGTGGTAGCAGTGGTAGTACTAGTACTAGTACTAGTAATAGTAGTAGTAGTAGTAGTAGTAGCAGTAGTAGTAGTAGTAGTAGCAGCTGCAGTCTTTGACATCGTCGTCTTGGTACTATAGTATGCAGTAGTAGTGGTAGTAGTAGCAGCAGAGTCGTCGTCGTCGTAGCAGGAGTAGAAATAGTAGATCCGTAGTAGTAGTAGTAGTAGTAGTAGTAGTAGTAGTAATAGTAGTAGTCGTGGTCGTCGTCGTAGTAGTACTAGTGGT